CTCTGTCTGCCTTCATTTTTTAATTTTTTTTTAAATTAAGGTTTTAGAAAACCTTTTGGATTTCATATAAATTCAAGAAATTAGGCTCTACTATTCCTGGCCACGAAATAGGGGGTAGAGAGAACACCAGGAAAGGTTCTAATGAACACTGGACAAGCTGATCAGGCCTCGTGTGTAGTTTTAGTCATCGTTACAGGATTCAAGCTCTGTCACCCAGGTGTTTGGTCACTAATTAGAGACCAGACCTTCTTGGTCCCTTCCTCCAGTGGTAACACAGGGCGAGGTTTTATAGAGAATGACGTGAAGTGTGTACAGCTTTCTCTAAGCTCATGAAAATGCTGGCGGTGTTTCAGGGACGTCCTAAGGCTGCTGGGAGGCGTGATCTGGAGGTTCATGGCTCTTCCCGGTTGGCGGTTCTTGTCCTGTTTCCTCCACTGGGGGTGGTGACGCCCTGCTCCACCTTTCCTGAATGCCCTCCTGCCTTTTGGTCACTCAATCTTTTTGCCTTTTAAGCGAATGAAAGTTTAGGCATTGACATCAGCAGCTGGTGTTCAAGGAAAGAAGGGGGGGACATGTGTGTGTGTGTGCGTGTGTGTGCGTGTGTGTGTGTGCGTGTGTGTGCATGCTCGTGTGTGTGCATGCTCGTGTGTGCACACTAAGCTGCTGCGCCTCGCCACAGTCTGAATGTCACCATTTGCTTGGGACCTGGGTCTCCGTTTAGAGGCCGGACACGTTCATCAACTGTTTTCTCCCCGAGGCTCAGAGTCGAGTGACTCATATCCAGGGCCTGTGAGGTCATTGGCCTGCCAGAAGGTGCAGGAGATGCGACAGTCCAGCAGAGCTCAACCAGAGGAGCTCAGCCCCCACCAAAAAGAGAGAGAGAGAGAGAGAGAGAGAGAGAGCGTGCGCGAGGCCTTCGTCTGCGTCCTCCTTGGCCTCTAACACCCCAGGGCTCGTCTGTTTTCAGGCCCTGTGCGTCATGGACAGCCTCCCCCAGGCCACCCCAGTCCTCACCATGAGGCCAGGAGACTCATTTGACAGTGACAGCAGGTCACAGCCCCTGGGACTGCAGGGCAGAGAATGGGCCGATCCTCTGGAGGTTTGGTTTGGGAGGTTTTTTCTGGTTCGTTATGTCACTGGCTGCTGCCACCTTGCCATCGTCTCCCAGGTCTGGGCCACCTCCCGGCCTGGGGTGCTGGCCTCCTCAGTCCATCCTGGGGTGCCGGCCTCCACAGTCTCACCAGACTGCTCCAGCCGCATCCTCACCAGGCTCTCCTCATACCTAAGCTAGTCGCAGCCATGTTTTGCTCTGCCACCATCTGCCATAGGACCTTTGAGCCTGCTGTCTGCTCTGCCTAGACGGCTTTCCCCTTGCCTTCCTCTGCAGGCTCCTGCTCCTCGCCCAGGTCACAGGTCAAGGGGAGCCTTTGCCGGCTCTTAGGTGCCAGTCCTGTGCATGCCCACGTCTCCTGCTCTGCCTGCCCTTGCACTGCACCCATGTGGCACCCTAGCCCCAGGGGTCAGCTCTTTTCAGGCTGATGGCCACCTTAGGTGGACACTGGAATGGCCCTGGGAAGGGGCGTCCTCGTTCTCCACATGAGACGTGATCTTTATTGGAGGAACGGAAGTCAGTGAGCAAGTCAGGAATAAGAAGAGGCTCAACGAAGGGTTCAAGGAAAGAAAGAGAAAGAGACACAGACGCTGCTGCCACCTGGTCAGTGCGGCCACTCACTCGGGCGAGGCGTCCTGAGCGACCTGGGGAAGCAGAGAGCCAGCCCAAGGTGCGCTGCCTGGGGAGCCCCTGCAGAGAGCAGGTGCCTGCTCCCCGCGGCTCAGCCCTGACCCTGGCCACCACCGTGGCTCCAGGTGCAGCCAGACGGCCGGCGGTCATGGGTGAGTGGCCATCCAAGGGGAAGCCTTTGACCTCGTGTGCCACTGTCACTGCCGACCCCAGGCCACATTTCGGGAAGCCCCGCCTCTAGTTCACTGTGTTGAGGACCCAGGTGGAGGGAAGTGACTCCCTGGACATCTTAGGGGAGACTGATTGTTCCACTGGTCCAGCTGCAGCCTCGGCACCCTGCAGCCCCCGGGATTCACCGCCACCTGGCTTGGGAGCAGCTTGGCCCCCGTGGGGCCGGGCTTCCTGCACCCTGGAGAGCGACCTGATCCACCAACAGCAGCAGTCCCCCCGCCCAGCGCCCAGGTCACCACGGACCCAGCCCAAACCAGATGAGAGGTGCCAGGAAGGGACCCACCAGATTCCACCCCTGCCTAATCCCAGGTCTTCACGGCCAAGAGGAAAGAGCCCCCTGGGGAAGGGAGGGATGGTGCTGCCGCTGTCAACCACCAGGAGAAGCTGTCCAGGGCCTGGGTGGCCCCACAGTCACTGGGTCAGCGTGTGATGAATAAGGACCAACGGGGCTTCAGGTCCCAGAGGGACCCTCTCCCGCCCCAGGGCCGCCTGCCTCCCCGTCGGGCCTCGGGCGCAGAGTGGGTTCAGGGAGGTGGACAGGAGGAAGGCGGAGGCCTCTGGGAGTCGAGGGACAATAGAGCCAGCAGAGGTCAGCCGGGTCCCTGACCCAGGAGGGGCGCTGGTGAACCAGCCTCTGGGGTGGGAAGCTGCGGTCGCTGTCGTTCTGAAGCCAGCACAAACACCACTCCACCACGGGGGGATTCGCTGTGCGTCCAGGAGGCGGGGGACAGACAGCAGGAGACAAGACGCACAGAATCATGGGGCAGTGGCTCTGCTGGGAAGACCAGTGGGTGTCCTGGCTGGACGGGGGCCGCTGTTGGTGAAAGGCGGCAGGTGCCTGCCCTGGGTGGGCGTCTGGCAGGGTCAGTGCCACACAGGCCCAGGGTGGCCCAGAAGCCTCCAGTACAGAGCCCCACGGAGCCTGAAGGTGGTCCCTCCTGGCGGCCACCTGTTTCCTTGTGCACTGGGGTGAGGACCCTCACCGGTGGTCATCGCTGTGCCCTGGAGGAGGGCAGCCCCCCACAGGACCCACAGTGGCCTCCGTTAGAGAGGACGACGTGTCCAGCAGCACACCTGCCACGAAGCCCGGGAAGCCCAGCCGGGCCACTGCTCCTGCCAACATCACGCTTTCCCACGTCCTGGGCCCCGCCGCAGACTTAAAGTGAGCGAGGTGACATCAGCCCAGGCTTTGCCCTCAACAGTGAGCTTTATGTCGCAGCAGGTGACGGTCGTAACACCTCTGCTTCATCCAGGGTTGGCACCGTCAGTGACAGAGCCTGCTGTGACCATCCTCTGTTGACATGGGCTTCTGGATGGATTTGAAGAGCAAACCCATGAGTCAAAGCCACCAGCCAATAGAGACAGGCCATCAGCCTGCAGGTGGCTCATTAAAGGATACACCCTTAAAACAGAGGTGGCTCAGCTGAGGATGTCTGTCATGGTCCTGGAGGAGGGACAGG